CAGCTGCCAGAGAATCAGCCCCTTCTGACATTTAGGGGGAAAACATTCCCAATCACAAACAGGAGGCAGAAATGAAAGGATTTTCTTGGTAAAAGGTCACAGTGGTTTCTCTTGTTTTTGCTTAAAAATGGTTTGTGTTGAACTATGACAAGGCTAAGTGTGTTATGGGGCAGCAGGCCGGGGAGAGGCTGGGAGTGGAGGAAGGGGGAGCAGGTGGGGGACAAACAAAGCTGCAACAGCCACACAGGGACAGCACTTAAAGGTCACAGCGGCAGCCTGTGCCTGGACTGGGGAGTAAGAGCAGCCCCACGGGGAGTGACTCACCGTCCTGGGATCTCAGTCAGACTTCCCTGGGCAGCAGAGGGAGCGTGCTCACCGCCCTCTGTCCCCTAGGTTCTGAGAGTGAGGGGGCCTACACGTGCCTCAGTCCCCCATCTGTACAATGGGGCAGTGATGGAACCGATCTTAGGTGGTGGTAATCCACTGCCGTCAAGAGTTCACAACCTCCTGATATTGTTGGCAAGTTAAATGAAGTAATGCCTATAAAGTACGTGGAGCAGTGCCAGCATCCAGTGCACCAGCCACCACCACCATCACCTCCACTACCATCACCACCACCGTCAGCATAACTGTCACCATCAATACTGTCACCACTATTACCAATACTACCACCATAATCACTACCAGCACACCTCAATACCATCACCACCACCAATACTACCACCAGCACCATCAATACTACCACCATCAACACTGCCATCACCATCATTAATCACCACCACCAGCATCACTGTTAACATCAGCACCATTATCCCTGTCACCGTCACTCATGCCAGTATCACCACCACCACCGTCACTGTCAGTATCTCCATTATCTCCTCACGGCCACCACTGTCGTCATTACCACCGTTGCCGCTGCAAACATTTGAGGATGAGATGGAGGAGACGAGGAGCTGGACGTTGTTCCCACTTCAGACTCCAGGCTTCGTGTTGGCGGATTCCAGGATCTGAAAGCACAGCGCTTTGGCAGCATTGCCACGTGCTCCGACAGGCACCTCCCTGGCTCACTTAGGTTCCAGGGACTCAGCCCGTGCTGCGCAGATCACATTGCTGGAGGGCTGATGTGGGCAGGTTGTAGTGATCCCCCAACTGTCCACCGTGCTCACCTCTTTCCTTCTGTGTCCCACACCTTGCAGGCCACCGGACCCTCAGGGACCAAGATGCAGCTGCTGGAAACGGAGTTCTCACGCACAGTGGGCGAGCTCATCGAGTTGCACCTGCTGAACCAGGACAGCATCCCGGCCTTCCTCAGCTCCCTCACCCTCGACCTCTTCAGTCGGCAGACCCTGGCCTAGGCCGGCCAGCCTCAAGCCTGCACAACCGGGCCCAGCCTGCCTCCATGCTGCCCGCTAGGGCCTCGACACACACCCCTGGCCCTCCACCCAGGCCTCTTCCCTGTCCTGATGGACAGCAGGGCCTCCTCACCATCTAGAGGCCTGTGCCAGTGCGTGGCAACCGCACGCTCACTCACACACACACACACCAGCACACGTGCACACCAGCTCACACCCACGCTCACACACACCCCAGCACACGTGCACACCAGCTCACGCCCACGCTCACACACCCCAGCACACATGCACACCAGCTCACGCCCACGCTCACACACACCCAGCACGTGCACACTAGCTCACACCCACTCACACCCCCCTAACATGCATGAACACTCATACACACCAGCTCACACCCATGCTCACACACGTGCACGTACACATGGTTGCTCTAGCATCTGCAATCACATGCACATGTACACGTTTTCACACACACACATGCTCACACACATCACAGGCTTACACATCCATGCTCGTGTGCGCCTAGACCCCCTCTCCCCTCGAGAACGGAGAGCTAAGGAAGGTCCTGGCTCAGCCTCCCCGCGGCCTCACTGCCTGCTCTCAGGCCCGATCTGCTGCCCCTACACTGTGGACCATGGGGGCTGATGGCCCTGCTAGATCCCACTGCCTTGTCCTCTCCACGGGGCCCTCATGCCACCTGCCCCAACCCTCATGCTGCTTTGAACTGGCTACCCAGTGAGCTGGGGTGACTGAAGCCACAGAGCCAAGTGCCTGGCCACTTCGTAAATAAAATATCTTCTCTCTACTCGCCAGCACCCGGGGCAGTGGGGCTGGTGTGTCAGAATTAGTGAGGCTGCCCCAGGACAGGGAGGGGTCAGAGCTGCTGGGCGTACTGATTCGCTGTGGGTCTCAGGCGACTCCATGGTACATCACAGCACTTCACTGTGAGCTGTCGACTCGCACCCAGGCCATGGCCATGGCCAGCACTGGATGAGGCCAGGTGTACCCCCCAAACCCCTCCGGGAGAGCCCACCACTTCTGTGACCATGGTGACCTCCAGAGCCCCAACATCACAGGGGCTCATGAGTGGGACATCAGGCTGAAAGCACAAGTGGGGCCTGGGCAGGGTCCCTGTAGACCAGGTTCTGAGTGGGGGTAGGAGGGCCTGCCTCCTGGCCCAGGGGGACCCACTAAAGATGGGGCGCCCGGGGGTGCTGGGCCTGAGTGTCCATGGCCTCATGAAGTGGTTCCTGACCCCCTCAGTGCAGCGGTGGAGGACAGCTCACCTGTGTCCAGGCGGGAGTTTCACCTCACCCTGACACACACCCTGACTGGGGGCCATCTGCCCTCCATGCTGGACATGTGGCCTCCAGGTGGTAACACACACTCAGAGGCGACGTGGACACTGCCTTGTCCTCTCCCAGGTCAAGGAAGGGGACGTCTCAGTCCCCCAACTCCAACTGCAGGCCCCTGAGGTTTTGGAAATGGAGCTGTGAGGTGATGCACAGGGCCACAGGACACTGAGGGCTGGAAGAAGACCCTCCCCACATGTGGAAGGGCATCTGGGCCATTGCGGAGCCTCCTGGACAGCAGGTCGCCCTCGGCGCCTGAGCAGCCCCTGCTCTCTGTCAAGTGGAGAGGGAGTGGACCTGCGTGGGGGCCATTCAGGAGGTTTCCCTCCCTGCCAGCGGGCACAGAAGGCTCTGGGCTGTACCAGCTGCGCCTCCGCCGGCCCCTTCACCTCAGTGTTAAGTAGCTCTTCTCCTTAATGACTAATCTGGGGGATTAGTGCCATGCAGGGGCGGGGGCATAACCGGCACGATGTGACCAGATTCCCAATTAGCCAGCGCCCTCTGCCGTCCCCCCATCATTACTTTTCCCAGGGCTGAGCCCACCCCAGCTGCCCCGTTATACTGCCCTGGGAGGAACCCATCCCCGCTCACCCAGCCCTTGGGGGCTGCAAGCCCGGGAAATGAGCAACCCCAGTGTTCCTCCTTCCTGCCAAAGTCCACTGTGTGCCGCTTCAAAAGACGTGCTCGTAAGCCCCTGTAAAGATACACAGCTTTGGGGACCTCCCCGTGGGCAGCCGTGTTCTGTTCTGCAGGGTCACGGTCAGAACTGATTCAACAGACATGGCTTTAGGTCCGTTTCGGTTTCTGTCTCTGATGCCCCAGTAGTGACCACCTAGCCTGTGACCATCTCAGGGACAGAGCCAAGGTCAGCTGGACACACCCCTAAATGCAACGTTGATGCCTGGGTTGAGCCTGTTTGTAAATGGGATCTTTGTTACAGAGGCCATCCCTGACCCAGAGGGAACCTGAGGACAGACACTTTACCTCGTGCTCTCTGGATTGTCAGGAGGGTCTGTCTCTTGGGAGGGGCGTCACGTCTGATTGGGTGGGAGGGTCAGTGAGAAAGGGAAGACCCCTCGAGGTGGGCTGATGCTGGGGCTGTTGCTCTGTTGTGCGTGGGCCTCTGGGACGGAGCGGACGCCACGCTCCTCGTGACAGCAGCCAGCAAGGCTTTGTCTTGTGGAATGAGCAGACTAGACGCAGGCAGACTGGAACTTCGATGGCTGTGTGAGGGTGCGCCCAGAGACCAAGAGGGTTGGCAAAGGCCAGCGACCAGGAGGCCCTCAGTCTCACAGCTGCCTCCAGAGCTGGGAGCGGTGAGTCCCCGCCTCTCCCAAGTGCCCTGTGGGCTTTGTCCACAGGGACAAGGATGTCAGTGTCCCCACTCCCGGTCCCATGGGCCCTCGGCAGACTGCTCCCTGGCGTGGGTGCCCGCAGCATCTCCAAGGAAAGCGGCTTTGCTGGCTCACACGGTGTGAGAGACTCGGTGAACTAGTGTCACACAACGTGTGCCGCGTCTGCCTTCAAAGCTTTGCTTCGCTCTTGAGCATATCAGTGCTTTGGAGGTTAGTTTGCATGTCTGCCCTTGAGTGTCCACTTGATATTTACGCTGTGTCCACAGGTCAAAACCCAGGCACTCCCCCAGCTCCATGTGCCCTGAGCTACCCTGACCACGAAGACCAGCCTCTGTAGTGGTCACCCAGTCGGACATGCCAGGGGTGTTTTACCCCTGTTGTCAGGGCCGGCTGTGACAGCAGCCCCCCGCAACAGCAGGAGTCCCTCCCATCATGCTCCCTCACAGTCTGCTGGGCCTGAACCCATAGTTGCAGCCACTGTCTGTCAGTCACCCATCCTTTCCTCCAGCGTGCGTGACGTCCTCCAGACACTCGCCCTTTCTGATAACGAAGCCTAAGCCTTATCACCCTCCCGTCTAGTCCCGGACACACCCATCCCTCAGCATATGTACCCGGTTCCATGGTGGAGTCATGCCCCAACACCCCGTTGGGCTGTCATCTGTAGAGAAACGCTGTGCCTCCTGGAAGCGTGTTGTCAGGGCACCAAGCTGTCTCTCCACCACCTGTTGACGACACTTGAGTTCTTTCTCTTTGTGGCTGAGTAAGACTGTGTAGATGGCTCACGCTGCATCTCCACCACCTGCGGATGGATGTTTGGGCCATGTCCTCGCCATCCAAAGCCCTGTAACAACTGCGGATGGACACTTGCGCGTGTCCTCTATCCAGTGCCCTGTGATGCCTGTGGATGGACACTTGGGTGTGTCCTCTCTCCAGTGCCCTGTAACGTCTGTGGATGGACAATTGGGTGGTGTGTCCTCTATCCAGTGCCCTGTGATGCCTGTGGATGGACAATTGGGCGTGTCCTCTATCCAGTGCCCTGTGACGCCTGTGGATGGACAATTGGGTGTGTCCTTTATCCAGGACCCTGTAACGTCTGTGGATGGACCCTTGGGCGTGTCCCCTATCCAGGACCCTGTAACAGAGTGGTCACAGAGGAGTAGCTCTAACAGATAATTGCTCTCTCAGTTTAGGAGGCTGGAAGTCCATCTCTGTGCCTCTGGTTCTAGAAGTTTCTCAATACAGGGACCCATGTTCACTCCTGATTCTTCTCAGTGACATTGAGGGCTCCTCATCTCGCTCCCTTCCCTCCTTTCATCCCTCCTAAGACCATCCCAGAGGCACTCCCTAACGTGACTCAGGACTGTAATGGGGCTGAGGGGGCCTCCATTCGCCTTTAATCTTTTCATGACCACTCCATGTCAGATCACGAGTGAGAGGTACGTAACTTGTGCACCACAGAGAGGCACTCGGGCACGTGCTTCAGTTCTCGGCAGCGTGCACCCAGCTGCTGGCCCCACAGTAGTGGTCCATGACATTGCTGGCAGGTGTCTGAACCCCTGCTGTCTGGTTCTGAGCTGCGCCAGGTGTGGGACTGTGGTCACAGTGTTGCCTGGGTGTCTGCTGCTTTCCAACTTTTAAAAAAAATTTATATTTAATTGTGCTTTAGTGTAAGTTTACAGAAAAGTTGGATTTTCATTCATTCTTAGTTGCATGATTTCCACCCTCCCTCCTTCCTCTCCCCCTCCCTCCCCCAGTCCTCTTTGCAATGTGCCTCTTATTCTGTATTGTCACCTAACATATAAAGCCTAATCATATATTCTTTTTAAACAGTTCTCTCCCTCATCTGTTGCACGGCAGTGTTTTCTTTAACTGTACAACATTAATACATTTTCTCTGTAACGAAACAGGAAATGTACAGTCGAGGCCAGTGACCCACTTCACTGAATCCCAGGCTCTTCCAGCTCCAGGAGGTGGATTTATTCATGGAACATACAGACCTACAAAAATAAGTCCAGGTTCTTGTGTGTACACGTGTTGGAGGGGGAATATGTGTGTAAATGGCAGCATTGTGTCAAAAGGAGGGGTGTAAGTGACCGCATTGTGCTGGAGGGGTGTAAGCAACCACGCTGGCTGGGGAGGGGGGTAAGTAGCCACACTGGCTGGGGGGGGCGTGTAAGTAGCCGCACTGGCTGGGGGTGGGGGGCGGTGTAAGTAGCCACACTGGCTGGGCGAGAGTGTGTAAGTAGCCAAATTGGCGGGGGGGGGGGGCGGTGTAAGTAGACACATTGTGGTGGGA